ATATAATTCAGTTCATTGCATGACAAAACTGATTAAGGGTTCAGGCGCTTTGGGCCTTTTACATTTTTTTTTTGAAATAAATTTTTATTTGCTATAAAGAAAAAAGTATAATTTCCAACTCAAGTGGGGAAACATAGTATTTTGAAGAAAAGTAGGAAAGCAAGGAGATAGAGGTAAAGAAAAAAAGAGAAAAGAGAAAAAGAAAAAAAGGACAAAAATATGTATATGTAAAATTATATTAATGTTAAAAATGAAAATGAAAAAATAAAAAATAAGATCTTGTGACTTCCTCATTTTCAACTTTATTGTCTATGTGATCTTCCTGATTTTTTTCTTGATTATCCATTTTTGAGCTGTGGAAGAAGTGCTATTCAGAAATATCAGGCCAATCAAGAAATTATGATTTCCAAGTCAGGACAGTAGACTTCCCTGAGTTTTCTCAGTAGAATGAGATTCAGATTTAAATTGCATACTTATTCACAGTTCTCATCACTTTGAGTGAACATTTCTCAGTATTATCTAGTCAGTTAAAGGATAAATGGGTAAACAGAAGCCTACAGCACGAATGGTCCATTACTGTGCATGTTTATTCAGACAATGACACTGAATTCAATAGAAGTTTCACCACATAAGCCAGCATGAGCTGTGGCTGCTGACAAGCTGTAATAACACCTCCCTTGGAGACATTATAACAAAAAGAAAGGATAAAAAATATCAACAACAACAACAATGACAATGTCTAGATTGTCAAGTGATGAATGAAATACAATAATAATTATAGATTACAAGGCATAAGCAAAATCAACAACAGCCCTAGTGTAAAGAATGACAAACTTATTGTGATATAAGTTCCTCGAGGAAAAACGTAGCAATCGCTGGATGTATTGTCTATCCCAGGCATTGGCAAACTTGGGCCCTCCAGGTGTTTTGGACTCCAACTCCCAAAGTTCCTAACAGCCTACTCGCTACTAGGAATTATGGGAGTTGGAGTCCAAAACACCTGGAGGGCCCAAGTTTGCCCATGCCTGATCTATCTACGATTCCTCAGGCTGGCTCTACGCTGCCATATAATTCAGTTTCAGAATGCATTGAATTGGATTATATGAGTCTACACTGCCATATAATCCAGTCCAAAGCAAATAATGTGCAGTCTCATTCACTATTTATGTATATGCAAAAAACAAGTATTCCAAAACCCAAAATCTGAATAACCTCTGGTCCCAGGCATTTTGGATAAGGGAGCCTTAACACTGTATCTTGGAAATGGGACCCAAGTCTGAATACAAAAGCAATGTATATTTCATTTACATGTGAATGCAATTTTATATAGCCAAGAAAAGGCAGACAACCACCCATTCTACTACTGGATGGCATCTCAATTAAGTAATAAATTTTATTATTATTATTATTATTATTATTATTATTATTATTATTATTATTATTTTAATAATAGTGTTGTTTATAACTTTGGCAATATATCAAACTGATCAAAGGTGTACTGAAAAAGGCTTTCATGGCCAGAATCACTGGGTTATTGGGAGTTTTTCCGGGCTGTCTGGCCATGTTCCAGAAGAATTCTCTCCTGACGTTTTGCTCACATCTATGGCAAGCATCCTCAGAGGTTGTGAGGTCTGTTGGAAACTAGGCAAGTGGAATTTATAAATCTGTGGAATAATGTCCAGTGTGAATGTTGCAATTGGCCACCTTGATTAGCTTTAAATAGTCTTGCAGCTTCAAAGCCTGGCTGCTCCCTGCCTGGGGGGACTACACAGAGAAGCCATTGAAATCCACAAGTATGTGGACAATTTCAACAGAAAGGGGAAAAGCATGAAAATGAACAAAATCTGGCTATCGGTATTAAAAAATATATAAAATTAGGGCAGTAAATAAAGAACAACACTCACAAAATGGGGGAATTCCAGAAAAGAAAGAACCAGGGCCAGCTAACACTTTCCAACAAAGGCTGGGAGCAGTCAGGCTTTGAAGCTGCAAGGCAATTCAATGCTAATCAAGGTGGCCAATTGCAACATCCACACTTGCTTCCAACAGACAAGAGTTCTTTCTCGCACCCTGGACATTCCACATATATGGAAACCCAATTTTCCTAGTTTCCAACAGATCTCACAGCCTTTGAGGATGCCTGCCATAGATGTGGGCGAAACTTCAGGAGGGAATGCTTCTGGAACAGACAGCCCGGAAAACTCACAGCAACCCAGTGATCAAAGGTGCATTTCCACGGTAGAATTAATTCAGTTTGACACCACTTTAACAGCCATGGCTCAATGCTATGGAATCATGGGAGCCTTCTTTGCCAAACAGAGGGTGCTGGTTCCTCACCAAACTACAAATCCCAGGATTCTATAGCATTGAGGCATTATAATGGTGTCAAACTGCATAAATTTCTGCAGTGTGGCCTCACTCAAAGACTCAAAGAAAAAGGAAGAGAACCTCCCAATCTATTATGAGGTGACATATCAATTCAGAAATTAATAATAATAATAATAATAATAATAATAATAATAATAATGGTGTATTTATAACCTTGGCAATATATTGCCTTGATCCTGACCAAGCCAAGCAAAAAAAGAAAAGGATACACTAGATTTCTTGCTTTGAAGCTGCAAGGCTATTCAATGCCAATCAAGTTGGTCAATTACAACATTTCTGGAATTCCCCCATTTTGTGAGTGTCGTTCTTTATTTACTGCCCTGATTTTGTAATTTTTTAATACTGATAGCCAGATTTTGTTCATTTTCATGGTTTTCTCCTTTCTGTTGAAATTGTCCACATGCTTGTGGATTTCAATGGCTTCTCTGTGTAGTTCCCCACTCCAGGCAGGAAGCAGCCAGGCTTTGAAGCTGCAAGGCTATTCAATGCCAATCAAGTTGCCCAATTGCAACATTACTGGAATTCCCCCATTTTGTGAGTGTCGTTCTTTATTTACTGTAATTTTTTAATACCGATAGCCAGATTTTTTTCATTTTCTCCTTTCTGTTGAAATTGTCCACGTTTGTGGATTTCAATGGCTTCTCTGTGTAATCTCCCCCCAGGCAGGAAGCGGCCAGGCTTTGAAGCTGCAAGGCTATTCAACGCTAATCAAATTGTTCAATTGCACATTTCTTTACTTCCCCCATTTTGTGAGTGTTGTTCTTTATTTACTGCCCTGATTTTATAATTTTTAATACTGACAGCCAGATTTTGTTCATGTTCATGGTTTCCTCCTTTCTGTTGAAATTGTCAACATGCTTGTGGATTTCAATGGCTTCTCTGTGTAGTCCCCCCACAGGCAGGAAGCAGCCAGGCTTTGAAGCTGCAAGACTATTTAATGCCAATCAAGTTGGCCAATTGCAACATTACTGGAATTCCCCCATTTTGTGTGTTGTCCTTTATTTACTGCCCTGATTTTATAATTTTTTAAAATACCGATAGCCAGATGGAAGGGAGATCCTGGGTGTTAAGATTCATAGAATAGAATCATAGAATCAAAGAGTTGGAAGAGACCTCATGGGCCATCCAGTCCAACCCCCTGCCAAGAAGCAGGAATATTGCATTCAAATCACCCCTGACAGATGGCCATCCAGCCTCTGTTTAAAAGCTTCCAAAGAAGGAGCCCCCACCACACTCCAGGGCAGAGAGTTCCACTGCTGAACGGCTCTCACAGTCAGGAAGTTCTTCCTAATGTTCAGGTGGAATCTCCTCTCTTGTAGTTTGAAGCCATTGTTCCGCGTCCTAGTCTCCAAGGAAGCAGAAAACAAGCTTGCTCCCTCCTCCCTCTGGCTTCCTCTCACATATTTATACATGGCTATCATATCTCCTCTCAGCCTTCTCTTCTTCAGGCTAAACATGCCCAGCTCCTTAAGCCGCTCCTCATAGGGCTTGTTCTCCAGACCCTTTTATCATTTTAGAGCAGCAGAACTCACAACCTCATGAGGATGCTTTCCATAAATGCAGGCGAAAAGTCAGGAGGGGATACATTAGATTTGTTTCTAGATGAGGCCTTCGCTACAATATCTTTTTGCAGCTAGTCCAGGAAGGGGAGGAAAAAAAAGGCACGCGGCCCCTTTAAGCAGAGCCTGTCTACCTTTCCCTTTGTACCTGCTTTTTTGAAATGCCGCCCCCTGATTGGCTGGCGGGAGGGGACACCCAGCGCTTCTCCCCGGTAACTTGACCCAAAGCCGGAAAGCGAATGCAACCTGAACAAGGCGAGGCGAGGCTGGAGCGTGGATGAGACGCGAAGCCACGCCCCCGGATGACCGCATTGGCCAATCAGGAGGAAGGGGGCGTGGCCTAAGCTCACTCCTTCTCCTCCCTCCCTTTTGCAAAACCGGGCAGCGTTGGAAGGGAGAGCTTGGTTGCTTGCAGCAGCAGGAGCTGGCAGGATCGCCTTGCCTGCCTTCTGGGATTGATCCCTTCGATCTACCCACGTTTTCTTCTTCCTTTGCACCTTTATTTGGACAGCCCTTCCTCCCTTTTCCGTCTGCATTGTCTAGAAGGAAGTGCATTGAAGGGAATGCCCTTTTTTCCTCCCTCTGGCTGCTAAATTCAAAGGCATTTTGCAAAAAAGGGACACTGACATCATCCGGAGACCGGGAAAAATGAAAGGAGAGGAAGCAAAGAAGGAAGAGAAATAATCATTTTTATTTTCATCTTTTTTTTTTTTTGCATCCAAGCAGGTTGAAAGGTGAGCCAATAATTCCCTCCTACCAACAATCTCTTTTCAAATCTAGCCTTGGTTTGTATTAACCTCGGGTAAGTAGATTTGCTTCTCTGGCCAGAGAAAGATTGCAAAGCTTTGGGACTTGGTTCCTTTTCAGTTGGAAGGCATGGGAAACTGAGAGGCTTCCTAGAAAGGATTGCAAAGCTTTGGGACTTCAAATTCAATTGAAAGGCATGGGAAACCCCAAGGCAAAGAAGACCTTGTGCAGAAATGAATCTATTTCCTCCTCTTCCTTGTCTTGACCTCCTTGAATTGTTATAATTGGGTTTTTTAAATAAATACATATATATATATATATACAAGTATATATATACTGCAAGATGTTGCAATAATTTTTTACACTTTGGTGGGTTTTGAACAAAACTTTTGAAAGAAAACCAAAAGAAAGAGACTTTGTGTGCTCCTCATAATATTGAGATATAGCAAGAGGATAAACATGGCCAAAAATTCAGTAGAAGGATCCAAGGAAGACCTGACCAAAATGGCAGAAGAAGACATGTTGAGGTGGAGCAAAGAAGACTTGGTGAAGCGGCTCAAGAAAGTCGAGAACGAGAAGATGAACGTGATGGTGGAGCACAGCAACCTGATGAAGGACGTCAACCGGAGGCTGCAGGTCCACCTGCATGAGATCCGGGGCTTGAAAGAAGTCAACCAGAAGCTTCAGGATGACAACCAGGAGTTGAGGGAGCTCTGCTGCTTCTTGGACGATGACCGGCAGAAAGGGAAGAAACTCTCCAGGGAATGGCAAAGGTTCGGGAGACACACCGCCGGGGTGATGTGGAAGGAGGTGGGGATGTACCAGCAGAAGCTGAAGGAGCTGGAAACCAAGCAGGAGACCCTCCTGAGAGAGAACATGGAGCTGAAAGAGATCGTCCTGATGTTGGACGAGGAGAGGAACGGGGCCGGCTCCCGCAGCTCCATCGACAGCCAGGCCAGCCTCACCAACTTGAACGGAGGCTCCGGCACCCGGGATGTTGGCGACGGGAGCAGTACTTCCAGCACCGGGAGTGCAGGGAGCCCTGATCACCACCACCACCATCCCCTTCACCACCACAAACCTGTGGAGAACAAGGCTGGAGCTATCCGGAGGTCCATGGATGACCTTTCAGCACCGCTTCACCACAGGAGCATTCCCAATGGCCTCAATGGTAAGTCCTTGGGATTTTGACCCACCAGTAGACACAAGAGTGGCTTCTGGAACTTATTGATAATGCTGGGCAACCCATATTTTGGTGCCTCAGATGTTAGATCTGTTCTTTGGTATGTTTGATCTGATGATCCCCAAAAATAGCACCAGTTTTCTCCTATCAGCTCTAGGTTTTGAGATACGGGACATTTACTATCTAATGCAGTTGTTCTCAACCTGTTATCCCCAGATGTTTTGGCCTTCAACTCCCAGAAATCCTAACAGCTGGTAAGCAGGTTGGGATTTCTGGAAGTTACAGTCCAAAACACCTGGAGACCCACAGGTTGAGAACCACTGATCTAATGGTCTCTATCTGCTTAGGACAATGGTTCCCAACCTTTGGTCCTCCAAGTATTTTGAACTTCATCTCCCACAATTCCTAACAGCTGGTAAGCTAGATGGGTTTTCTGAGAGTCGAAGTCCAAAATATCTGCCAGACCAAAAGTTGGGAACCACTGATGGAATCTTCGAAACATAGAGTTGGAAGAGACTACATGCTTGCCCATAGAAAATCATGATAACCATATCTAAGAAACTAGAGTTAGTGCAGTCTGTCAAGTGCAATTTTCTGGATCAGTGACCCAAATAACCCTAGGAACAGGTCTAAAAAGACCAAGAAATCTTTTTTGTTGGACTGTGGAATAGGTTATTGGACTTGTCAATCCTGTCTTGCAGATGGTAAGCTGACTTCCCAACTTCATAACAGGTCATTCATTGGCCTTGTCGTTTTCTCTTTCTTATTAATGTCGTTCTCTCTGTCTTATGGTTCAAACTGCTGGATGTGGAGGAGTGTTTGTATTTGCTTTTAGTGGGGTTATAAGTTGTGTTTTTGCTCGTATATGTCTTAATGTGGGTAAAGGTATCCCAGAACACAATCCCTAGGTCGTCTTGCAATAGTGAGTAATGCGTAGTTGTGGACAATGTAATCCTACTGCGATTATTGTGCATGGAAGCAGGTGGCTCTTATTGGGTCTGTTTAATTAATGCCATTCAGGAGAGTGAGATCTTTAATGAACCGTATCTCTGGTGGCATATTTCACCCAGTGCTCGGTGACAGCAGCTGTCTGACTCATCATTGTGTCAGATGGACGTTTACGAATTCCTGCCTTTTTGGCTTCGGTGGTAATATATTTTCCGGGATGTACACTTCTGCCACAAATCCTCTTGGGCCACCTTGAGCAAACTGCATTCTGGCTTCCCATTGTTTAGGTTTCGGCACGCATCCCCTCCACCCCTCTCCAAAGAAATCCGCCTCTTCTCTGATTTTGGGGATCTTGCCAGGTCTCCTTCATTAGCAAGTGTAAAAGGGGTTTGGGACGGAAGATGCAATGGAGATGCATACATGATTTGGATGAGTGCAGGCCAGGCAAAGAGAGACCTGTTGTGGCTCAGATGGTGGCATTGTGGGGTTTATCAAAAAACTAGTTACTCTAACTGGCTGCCTGCCTAATGCTATTGTTGCTGATGCTGGTTTCTATCATTGCCAAATGTTTCTTTGTTTATGTGCAGGTTGTGGTCATGCTGCCCTTCCTTGTAAGTCTTGACATCCCCTCCTTTTTTGACTATGTGATATTTCTGAAATAATCAAGCTTTGATTTGAAATAATTTGAAATAATCAAGCTTTGATTTGGCCTTCAATATTTAGAGGTTTTTGTAACCTTACCTGCTGGATAGTTGGGGTTTGGTGAAAAGCATAAAAGGAATGTTAGAACAATAGGTTAAAAATCCTTAAATCCTTGCCACAGTGCATCAAAAGCCATTGCCTATTTTACTCGAGTTATTCTCCTGCAGGAAAACTGTTTTTGAACAAATCATTTCAGAGTAAACTATACCCCCTCCCATTTCTTGTGTGCCTTCACTGCTCTGTGTTCTTTAGTTTGTCATGTTCTAGTGATTGGATTGTAATGAGATACGCTTGTGAATATTCATCTCTGACTACTAGAGAATTCTTGTGAATATTCATTTCTGATTAATCCTGAATATGAAACTGATTTGATCTTGTATTAAGTTGTAAAAAAAATGCAGTACTTACTTGATATGGGGTCTTTTTTGCTCATCCTATTCATAGGGCTTGGGCGCAGTGGATTAAACTGCAAAGCTGCTGAACTCGCTAACCAAAAGGTCAGCAGTTCGATTCTGGGGGGTGGTGTGAGCTCCCACTGTTTGGTCCTGCTTCTGCCAACCTAGCAGTTCGAAAACATGCAAATGTGAGTAGATCAATAGGTACTGCCTTGTCAGGAAGGTAACAGCGCTTCATGCAGTCATGCTGGTCACATGATCTTGGAGGTGTCTATGGACAACGCCGGCTCTTCAACTTAGAAATGGAGATGAGCCCCAGAGTCAGACACAACTAGACTCAATGTCAAGGGGAAACCTTTACCTTGACTTATTCATAGGGCTTAATAAGTAGATGATAATAATAGGTGATGTATGTGAAATATTTCATCAACTAAATTAATTTTCTTAGTGCCACACCATCAACTACCAAATGTAGTTCAAATAAAACTTTGTATTATGTTATCTGAAAATGCTTTAGCCTTTCAATAACCATGGAACAAGTCCTTGAAAAAGAGGCTACTACTGGGTCCATCTACATACCTTTGCTTTCTGGACTTTGCACACACAGATAGTAAACTGAGGTGGGTTATTTGTTGGCAGTCCGAGGAAGAGAAATGGTAATTTAAATCAAAAGTTTTCTATATATAGAATAGGAAGCACACAGTTGTTAAATATGCATTTCACATCTAATGGTTTGATTCCCAGCCAAGTTTGTTAGGAAGGCAGGTCTCGCTCTCTGGCTTTGAACATTTCATTATTGCAGATGAGACGCATGGAGCTTTTGACCTCTTCTGACGTTGCTGGGGAAACGTTGACGTTGATTCTATGATTCTATGAAAGGAATTTGAAAGCTTCTATTTTAGGATGTCTGTAATTTATCTTATTATCTAGATAAATTAACACTCTGGTCATAGTTTATTAAAGTGGATTGCTTTGTTTAATTCCAACTGCTTGTTTTGAAAAAAAAATGCTAAGTTGGTTGTGAATTTGCCAGAAGATAAAACAGAAGTGGGGAGCAAGTGAGCCTAAATCTTCTTGTGACTTGTCACAATGCTAAACCACAGCGCACATTGGGCCTAGGATCAATTTAAAAACTAAGTATGATTACAGGGTTGTTGTGATTTTTCTAGGCTGTATGGCCATGTTTCAAAAGCATTCTCCCCTGATGTTTCACCTGCATCCAACAAAGGATTCCTCCAGGCAGTAAAAAGCCAGACTTTGATACTGCTAGGCCATTAGATGCTAATCAGTGTGGCCAATTGAAACATTCACACCTACCTCAAACAGACAAGAGTTCTTTCTCCCACCCTGGACATTCCACAGATATATAAGCCCCATTTTCCTAGTTTCCAACAGACCTCACAACCTCTGAGGATGCCTGCCATAGACACAGGCGAAATGTCAGGAGAGAATGCTTCTGGAGCATGGTTATACAGTCTGGAAAACTCACAGCAACCCAGCGATTCTGGCCATGAAAACCTTCGACAATACATTAAGTATGATTACAATTGCAGCTTTAGAGGGCCCCTTCATTATAGTAATTGCAGTGGCAAAAAACATTTATGTACCATTTCTACTAATGGCTTTCTATTAGAACATGCCATTTTAATTATAATATTTGATCCATTAAAGTACACCCTGCTTCCTCATTTTTAAGTGGCAGCAAAAAAACCAAAGCCACTCTTGGCTCTACTAGAGCACTGTCTAGTTTAATTTGAAGGTGTAGTCCATTTATTGTAATATAATTCAAGGTCGGTATATGGTTCCTCCACCCACTTTATTTGCACAGCAACCTTGTGAGGTAGATTACTTTGACAGGTAGCAACTGGCTCAAGAATACCCATGAGGTTTGAGGGCAGCTTGAACCTTGCCCCGTGAGTCTTAACCACCGCAAAATATTGGCTGTATAATGTCAGAGCGTCCATTTCCACCATAGCCATTTACAACACGATCGTATGTATGTTGGGATTTGTCAAGCCCACTTGGGAAAAGGGCAGAATATTGATCAAATAAAACATAAATGTTTACATAAAATCTTAATTTAATAGATATATATTAAACACCCTAGTAAGTTCTAGTGTATTTTCCTATTTTTCCCTTGGAAGAAGCTACAAAACAGCCCAATGAGCTGCAGTGTTAAGGTATACTTATTGTGCTGGAATGGTATCCCGTTACCTATTAGGCGATCCCTCGTTGTCCAAGTATGGTGACCTTCCAAGTGTAGTGTCTTGGCGGTGGATGCGTAGGTGACTATGGAGCCCTATTCTTGATTCACATGTTCTTCCACAGTGAGTGCATAGGTTTCCAGGTGGAAGGCGGTCCTGGTCAGGAATGGCTTGGTGTGCCTTCCTCTTGGCATGTTTGTCCCTTTCACCCTCCATTCGTGCTTCTTTGAATTCTGCAGCACTGCTGGTCACAGCTGACCTCCAGTTAGATCACTCAAGTAGTAACTGCTGAGCACACCTGTTACTGCCTGCAAATGGAACTGCTTTTGTCCATAGAGCAAGACAGATTGGAAACTTCAATGTTGTCAGTATGTTAGTTTGAAGAGTGGGGAAACTGCATAGGACCAGATTTTTTAGAAAATTCCAATAGTGTGTTGAAAGGACATTATAGTCCAACATTCAAAGCAGATTAGTAATGTACCTTAAATACTAAAAATCTTAGAGTGGCATCGGTTTTCATAGACTACATCCTATTTCACTAAGAGAGATCTCCAAGTAGCTTTGGAGTCATAACCTTCTCGCTTTCAAGGTCCCCCATGCCTTATATTGCAGCTTGGCTGTTGCCAGGATATCTCATTAAATCAGGACATGCCTGTTGCTACGTGACTTAATTTGTTGTCAGCTTTGTTTATTGTTTACAGCATTGCAAATACACTACTCAATTTGCCTATATGCTATC